GAGGTCCACCTCATGTCTCCTCTTGCTCAATACATCTCCTCAACCCCCTTTCACCACTCTTCCATGTTTCGCAGCTCACAAAAGTCAACATTGATAGCCTAAAAAACGTGGGATGGCCCCACTCATGTGGGAGGTCATCCAAATATATCCCGAACTGTACATTCGACCCCGAAAGTTGTATTTCTCAGACTATTTTAATTATATTTAATTTTATCGGGCCAATAAAATATATCACATGTTCCAAATCACTATAGGCCTTTAGAATGAATATATATTCTCCAACTTTAATTTATAAGTCTCCGAAATTCATTTCGAACTGTTATCCGATAAATTACCAATACCAGTAACTAGGTCTCATTTGACCAACCGGTCAACCCTATGCTTGTTCCATGGCCCAACTAGGATATACACCACCATATACATATTATCTAGACCGAGATGAATATAATATGTGGTCTCAGAATTGTCGAGTGGTCCCCGCTCTCGATATGGGCCCCACGTGCAATTCACTATTCACGCACAAGTAATAACAAAAATTTTCAACTTCGTAAATTCATTAACCGTTTCATAAGGTTCAATACATGGTTTACATAAAAGTAAATATAATTTGGGATGATGTTACACCGTCCCTCAATTATTGTTTCATACCATATTTGGTAACATTTGTGTGACTTTAATTCATCCTTACTTTATTCTCACTTTAGGAACTCATTATCAACCACATAATTTTACTTTTCTTTAAAACTAGATCACTCTCTTCCGTCCCAATATTAGGGGGACGGAGTGAGTATTAGAACTCTCCAGATTCGTTCATGTAAATTTTGCTACACCATACTCGAACATATCATACTAGACCAGACCATATTATGAGGGAATTTGTGAAAAGAAACGGTAATATATACTACTTCGTAATTTAAATGTGACTTATAAGTCCTCTAATAAAGTTCCAATATTATGTAATGGTGCAGCCGTCTCATTTACTTTGTTTAAGTCAGATCATATGGTTTAATTCGAGCGAGAGTGAAACAAATACAACAAATAAAAAACGGTACAACATGCAGGTCTTAATTGGCTAAGACATTATTGAGTCACAAATTGTGTTCATACTCCCTCCGTTTCTAAAAGAAACTCACACTTTCCTTTTTGATATGTTTCAAAAACAAAGTCACACTTCCCTTATTTCCTTATTTGGCAAAGAAATCTCCATCTAAACAGTGTCAAACAGTGCAAAACAGTGTCAAACAGTGTCCAAACAGTGCCAAACAGTGTCTAAACAGTGTTTTCTACAGTAAAGTCAATTTATTTCCTTCATAATCGTGAAGTCAAACCGTAACTTTCTTTTGGAAACGGAGGGAGTATTATATTAGGGTATGTAGAGGGTCGAGTACATCATTATGGGATTTATGGAGAGCATTAAATCAATTGCATGCAAGCCCCGTTAAGAATGTTTTTACTTGGATTGTAATTTGCTGGTCTGGTTTGGTCTGATTTGGTCTGTTTTGATCTGGTCTGATCTGGTCTGGTCTAGTCTGGTCTGGTCTGTTTTGGTATGGTCTGGTCTGTTTTGGTATGGTCTAGTCTGGTCTGGGACGAATTACAATCCAAATAAAAACAAACCTAAACTAGTTCACATGGATTTTGCATTTTATATTATTTTAGAACACATGATTTAACACCCATACGTGAGGGGTGGAGTGTTGCCAAAAGAGCAAGCAAATGAGGAAGGGGTCTCCACTCTTTAGAACTGGCCTGGGGAGTGATTTATTGTTCAGGCATGTTCAAAGATCCTAGCTTATCCGCTCGATTGGTTGTGATCAATTAATGACCTACAAAGCTAATTTACCGACAGGGGCGGAGTCATGGCATTGGGTCGAACTGGATCGGTACAAAGATATTTTTGTAAAAAAATTTACACGTAATTTTTTACATTAAAAATATAGACATTTTGAAAATTTGAGCTGAGCTTTACAAAGATACCAGGGTTGGCCCTTCCTAGCTACGCCCCTGGCTTTTGATATGGATGCATATAATAGTAGTATATATGAATATTATCAATTCTGTATCTCAAAGATAAGTTCACTATTAATAAAATTATCAGGAATTATATAAAATTTCAATAAAAATATACTAGTAGGGGTATAGCTAGATCATACGTTCCATTACATTATAACAAAAAGTTTGAATTCAGAATGGACAACAACAAAAAAAGTCGGTTCACATAAAGTTTATGTGATGCGTAAGGTCAAAGGTCGGCACCCCTATCTACGCAAAATGCTGATCGAATTGGGTATCATCTGGATGAGCACTGACGAATTATCCTTCTTCCTAGGACTCGTTGCGTCTTTTAATATGAACGAAATTAGAAATTAATTACTGTACTTCTTTTTTATGCTTGGTTTATTTCCATTTTCAGAAAGAAGAAAAACCAATCATTATACTGTACTATAAGTCTTATGAATAGAATCTTCCTCTCCTCTTTTTATATATACTTTTATTGAGAATAATTACGCTTGGAGTATTCAATTTTCACGAAGTAGCATGTAATATATTGTGATCTCAATTTTCATCAGGTCACATGTTGAATTTTTCCATAATTGTATTTTACCAATGAATCATCATTTTTCATAGGAAAATTGGAGTAAAACATTGTCAAAAGAAAAAATAGGATTATAAGTTCAATATTCCCAAATAGGACCAGTTAATACTTTCTGTTCCTATTCTACCCTTACCATATTTTAATAAGAAAATGACATTTTTATTATAATAAAAAACACTGATTTTTTTTAAAAAAAAATATTTATAATATAATAAAATAGCATAAAGAACATAAAAAAGTGTGTAGGCCTCTGTCACCTTCTAACCTTCTAGCACCGCCACCTCTGACGGTCAAAAAATGCTATCTTGTATAAAAATGGCACAATTTCTCTGAAATGTCATGAAGATGATATTATTACTTTTTAAAAATGTTAAGTTGTTTTAGGATGTTTTTACTTGGACTATTTTTAGTCCTAGACCAGACCAGACTTAAGCAGGCCAGAACAGATTAGACTAGACTTAAAAAGACAAGACTAGACACAACAAGACTAGACTTAAACAAATCAGACCGGACCAGACTTGACTTCCGTAGTTATAAAATACACAAAGACCAGACGTTTACTAGACCAGAATAGACCAGTTCAGACCAGACCAGACTTAAACAGACGAGACCAGACCAGACCAGATCAAATCAGAATTGACTTAAACAGACCCGACCAGACCAGACTTAAACAAACCAGACCAGACCAGACTTGACTTCCGTAGTTATAAAATACACAGAGACCAGACATTTACCAAATCAGATTAGATCAATTCAGACCAAACCAGACCATACTCAAATAGATCATATTAGACCAGACTTAAATAGACCAGACCAGACCAACAAATATTGATGTAGGATGGCAATTTTCCATAGTCGCAGGAGGGGGTGTTGGAAGCTGATTGAGCCTGCACTTCATATGTTTTTATCATAAATGAAAACATGGTTTTATTAAAATATGACAAAAATAGAACAGAATGATAGAGTATTAATTACTACTCGATCATTATTTTCAGAATTTGAAACTTGTAATCTTATTCTTTCCATTTAACTTTCATTTACTCCTACTCCTATTTAGGTAAAAATCCATATTTCCTATTAATATGAACTACAAATAGGAGCAAAAACGTTTTGAAATTGCAAAATAGGAGTATCATGTTTTTTATCCCCTGAACAGGAGTAATCTGGCAAGTTTGGAAGAAAATGACAAATTTAGAATTAAAGCATAGTAATACCAAGTTTGGCAGAAATTTACTCCTATTTAGAAAATAAAAAATGTGATACTCATATTTTGGGATTTCAAAACTTTTTTACTATTTATAGAATTTTCTCTTCAAAAAGTCAGTGGAGCCTAACTATTAATGATCTTCTATTACACTTTATTAAGGAAAAGGTGAGCGAATTACATCATCCTGAAGTCCTAAACCACTCTATATATTATTCCAATCAATGCATTGAAAACATGGAATGCGCCTCTAATTTCTAGGAAGGAGTAATTACAGGTAATGAATTGAAACACTATATGCCTTTCTTTTCATTTTACTCACATTACGCCAAACCATTGCATACAAGCACATGAACGCAAAATTCTCCCATGTGGTCAATACTCATCAGTATATTGTTGTCTAAAAAGCAATATGATCACTTAATTAATTCTTCATGTTTGTCAAAGATGGTTCCCAATGGTCAAAACTTATGATAGACTTATTAATAGTTGATGCATGTAATTCTTATAGGGTGTACTTTGTAGTAGATTGCACCATTTTCCATGTACTCTTTTGTTTATAACCAGAAAATTGTTTAAAATAAGACAATGAAAGAAAAAGTTGCTCCACTGGATTCTACTTAAAACAAGACACTTTAAATTCTTTCTAGAAATGAACCTGCCCAAGTTTTATGTGTAAGTGATAATATTATTTGAAGATATATGATAAATTTTATGCCCACTTATTAATTTTTCTGCAATGCATGCAAAAATGTTTGAAAAAAAGCAAAGCATGCAAATAATATTTTCCGGATTTGGCTCATCAATGAGAAACAAGTTTATTTTGTTCAACAACATTTCCACCAAATGGATTAGTATGAATAGTTCTGTCTGATTGAAAGGGCCTAAATCTCAGGAAAACTTAATAAATTGGTAGTGATTATATGCATCAAATTGTGTATTACCATTACCACAGTAAAATGCAAATAGCAATAATGACATAATGTTTGAATCTCATATGCTCACATGCACATGCACACATGTTTACCTTGTAATCAACAACATTCTGCACCATTTTGGGTTTCATAAAACTATTCTTTGCAGACTTCAAAGCTTTAATTTCCCCTAATAATTTTCTTAAATTAATTCAAACACCATCAAGACACCAATTAAATGCAAGAATTGAAGCCATTCATTATATTCCTCAGTTCAATTCAATCTCATCATATTTCAATCTCATGTATCAAAGTCTCACAATATAATTGAGTAAAGCATTATAAGCTGAGAAAGTAATGAATTCAAGATGAAAGTACAATCAAAGAGGAATAAATTATACTCGTAACAGTAAAAATAAAATAAAAGTAACAAAACATGCAAGAAAAGAAATGAAATCTATGGTCAACAAACGCGCGCAAAATGTGTTTTTTTACCTTGATCTTAGCTAACAGCGTTGGATGAGTTTAAAAGGTAATAATTCCTAGGTAGTGAAGCAAGTGATGAGAGGAGGATTTTACTGAATTACCCATCAGGATAACCGAGCTAATGCGGCGGCGGCCGGCAAGTCAGAACGGAGGGCGGCCTCCACCGCCACTCCAATAACCCGCCTCAGTTGGCATCTGGATAGAGTTAGCGAGATTGGGCTGCACGCCGCCGTGAAACATGGACGGATCCGCTAGTAATTGCTGATGAAGTTGCGGCTGCGGCCCGCCTCCCGCCGCCGCCGGAGACCCCATTCCTCCTCCCTGCTGGTACTGCGGCTCGTCTTCGTCCAGCGGGAGCCTCTCGTAGGCGGCGTTGCTAAACGAAGCCGCCATGATCACGACGGGCCCGGCAGCAAGAAGAGCCCCGACAACGCTGCCGCCGACAACCTGCCCTTGTCCTCCCGCCAAGTATATGCTCAACCCGGTGGCAGATGGCGGCGCCGGCGGGGGCAGGAAGGACCCGGACAGGGACAAGATCTCGAACCGGCCGTGCAAGGTGATGACGGCGGCGGAGGCAGTCGAGGCCGGCTGCCGGAGGGTTACGTTCGTCACAATCCCGTTTCCGCTCAAAACGCAGACGCCGCGCTGGCGCATCCGGGCGAAGGCGGCGACGCTGTCCATGACGTCACACCCGTCGGCGATTTCCATGAGGTGGGTCCGGAGCGAGTTGGCGCTATCCCGGGTTATGATGATGGGGGGTTTGGGTTTGTTCTTGGATCCGGCCGGCCTCCCACGCGGCCTCCGGCTGATTTCCCCGGCAGCTTCAGACAACAACCCGCCGTTGTTCTTGGATTCGCCGCCACCGGCGTCATTAACATCCCCGTCGTGCTCTTCCGGATCTTTATTGCTTTGGTTACGGAACTGATAATTGAAATCCATGGTCAATTCAAGCTCTAGCTAGCCAGCTAAGCTGATATATATGATGATTTGACTGACCGGACTAGAAACATAATCTATTCCCGGCCGGCGGGATATGATATAGATGAGGTAGTTTGGGTTTGGGGCTTTTAGCTGAATTGAAGATCGGAGTTGGCTTTGGGGTTTGGTTTTCTCAGCTGTACTGTATGGGTCCTTCTTCTACTCTCCATTCAACAATTTTTACCTAATATTAAACAAACCCAAATTTGTGTTTTTGTCATCATCCCATTTGCACCGGACACAACATGCATATATTCAACTTTTATTCAATTTAACATATACTTCTTTTGTCCTCATTATTAATTGTTTGGTCCCAAAAACTTTGTCAAATTTGATTTTTTTGTCAAAATACATAAAAAATCATGAATTGTATAGCTAGGTGTTTTCAGAATGATTTTATCATAAGAATGTAATATATTATCTGTATTTTTTTACTATGGCGCTTATAGAATATAAACTTTGAATTTACATTGTATTGACCCAAAGCATTGCATCTTTGCATGGGCAAAGTTAAATAATTTTGACCCCTAAAAACCTTGATAAATCATTTAGAAGAGGAAGGATCACTATTTATTTTATACTTCGTGTATCATCATTTCAAACTTCATTCACCATTTTGTAATACAAATTTACATCCTGTAATAGGTTCTACTTTAACTAGAATACATTTTTCTTTATTCAGGTGGTATGTAGAACAATTTGCTGATTATTGCTTGACAAGAGTTAATTGCATTTGCTTTATTTAATTGACATCGTGTTTTGAGTGGTCATATTCCTACTTTTATCTCAAATGAGTTGGAGTATGATTTGATTAATAATAGAGAAAAGTATGATAAAGATACTTCTGGTTTGGTCCGCTTTAGGACATGAAGTTCATTTCTTCACAAAGTGAGGGAAATTTGCTTTCACGTTGAGGGTTTACATCTAAATGTTGTCGACGGAGTATATTGGAGTATATTGCCACATACGCTAGGAGTATCAACATTTATGCTAAGGGATCTCCGGAAGTCATTAAGGCAAATCTGGCTAAGGCCGAGCTCAAAACTGGTTCTTAGATCATCAAGATAAGCTCAAAACTATAGCTGAGACCGAGCTCAAAACTGATTCTCAGATCATCAAGATAAGTTCAAAACCGTAGATGAGGCCGAGGTATCAAGGTTGGTGGCATTTCAGACACTACAATCAATCATCGAATCTGGCCAATTCCCACGTTATGAGATCAAGATCAACAAAGATGAGCCAAGGTTTTTTCCACCTCCAACATTATCACTTGGACCCGAGCTAGGTCTACACTCACGCCGAGCTCAAGACCTCTGATTGAAATTGTGGATTTAGACATTTCGATACTAAGATCTCACAATATTCATGATGATGATGATGATGATGACGACGACGATGATAAAAATAAAAATAATAAGTATGTGCTTATTAAAGGAAATATGTGACATATTTAATAAAAATACGTCATCTACAGTAATTTCATAAAATCCAGCTAGAAACGTAACATTAATACTTACTTATTTTTATAAACAAAAAATAAAAAATCAGGTGTTTAGTGAAAAAGTTAACTAATAAGATTGATAAGCCACAAAATAGATCACCAAATTACTTGTGAAACACACAAGTCTAACCTTCGTCCCGTTGGAAGGTTCATGTAGGTAAATAAATGACACGATTTTTTAGTTAAGTGATGAAATAAAGTAATTTGGGTAAAAAAGAGAGGAAAGCGAAAATTTAGAAAAGTAAATATATAAAGTGAAAGTTATTAAAGGGAGTAAGTTGAGTAAATGTGCAATTAAAGAGAATAAATTATTTCGTAAAATGGAACATGAATTTTTAAATGACACTTCTAACTAAGGAAAGTGAAAACTTTGCAACGGAACGGAGAGAGGAATAAATACTCCGTACTACATAGTAATCGTTTCGGTCTGAGCCTGACCGACCATATGCAGCATGTGTGGAGTTTTATTTCATACTAGTAGTCACCTTCAGGGGCAAAACTAGTAGGGGGCTTGGAGGGGCTTGAGCCCCTGCAATTATTTATGTATTTATTATTTATATATTAAATAAAAAATTATTTAATAAAAATGTGTATTGTATATTAAGGATTAATAACATATATTATAAACATAAGAGATTGCAGCAGAGTGGAGATGACATTGCATGTGTGTGTGGCTTTTTTAAAAGGTTTATGGTTTGAATCCCATCTTTGTAACTTTTATAGTTTGCTCTACAAAAAAACATTTTGTGTTACAAAGGAGCCAAAAATATTTGATCCTCCATGGGGATGGGGAACGACTCCAAGCGACCATTTTTATTGAGAAGCTAATGATATTTGCATCCTCCATGGGTTCAACATCATCATCATCATCATTAATGCTTATGAAGTTTACCATTTAGCTCTCTACTACTTGGGTAGGCAGGGGCGAAACTAGTAGGGGGCTTGGAGGGGCTTGAGCCCCTGCAGTTATTTATGTATTTATTATTTATACATTAAATAAAAAAATATTTAATAAAAATGTGTATTACTCCCTCCGTCCCATTTTACTTAGCCAATCTTGACTTTTCAAATCAATGAAGTCTAACTTTGACTGATTATATGTTCATATAGAGAAAATATTAATAATATGAAAATGATATGAAAATGTTCTTTGTTAAAAATACTATCATAAAAGTATAAAATTATTAAATTTTGCATAAATATATTAGTTTAAATAATTGGTCAAAGTTTACCATCTTTGACTGGAAAAGTCAAAGATGGCTAAGTAAATTGGGACGGAGGGAGTATATATTAAGGAGTAATAACAAATACTGTAAACATAAGAGATTGCAGCAGAGTGAAGATGGCATTGCATGCGTGTGTGGCCTTTTAAAAAGGTATGTGGTTCTAATCCCATCTTTGTAACTTTTATATTTTTCTCTACAAAAATACATTTTGTGTTACAAAGGAGCCAAAAATATTTGCATCCTCCATGGGAATGGGGGACGACTCCAAGCGGCCATTCTTATTGAGAAGCTAATGAAATTTGCATCCTTCATGGGTTCAACATCATCAGCATCATCATTAATCATCATTAATGCTTATGATGTTTACCATTTAGCTCTCTAGATAGGGATCACAATTTTGTTGGCAGCTTTCTCTCCAAATCACCACATCATATTTAGTTTCTTGCTTTTGGGTTTAATAAAAAATCCCATTTGATCTTGTATGTAATCAAAATTGTGATTTCTCGGTTTACTTTTCAAGATATTATTTTCTAGAATAAAATATATACAAGTATGTGGTATATTCTAGAAGGTGGATGCCACATCTTCCGAGCAGCCTAGAATACGCAGTGTCGCAACGACACTTCCTCTTGTCGTGGCCCGCCTCGCCAAAGATTGAAATTCCGGGGTCACACCAAGCCCCTCTAAGGTCACCGAGCTGGTTCCGCCACTGGTCACCTTTTAATAATTGACTAAATTTTAGTATTGATCATTCACCTTAAATTAGTTATGAAGAATATTGTTGCTTAAATTTAAGTACTTCAAATGTATTTCCATTTTTTTTAAATGATTTGAATTGGTATAACAATAATCCACTTACATTTATTGAGTATTGATAGATATGGTTTCTTAATACCAATTATCAGCATGATATCTATTTGTGATGTCTCTAAAAATTTGAAACCTATACATTTTCAAATTGGAGAAAGAGATTTGACTTCTCTACACATTTAAAGCATTTTAGAGTTTAGTCATCACATGAATAATATTCTAAAATTCTCTTAAACTCCTCGGGAGACTACTCTAATAATACTTACTTCCTTTTGACGACTATGGTTTCAACACCAATAAATCTATAGTTGATTAAGCGGCTTGAATTGGGTAGTAGTGGTACACTTACTATGGAAGTGGTGCAACCACCGTGGCAACTCTTTAGAGGCTTCCTAAATTTAAATTTAGATATCAATATTGTTATAACATATCCTACAAATACCAAAATTTGTTTTGAGTTTTGTTCGATTCATTCAATTCGATCTAAAATATATCTATCATATGGAGTATATAAATGTCTAAAATTGCTTCTTTATCTGATGGGATCTATAATATATGACCGCGCCGATATAAGTTTTAAAAAGAAATCATTTCAAATATATAATCAAAATAAGAGTAGTAGATAAAAATGTGACCTTGGTAGCTTTAGTGATTATAATTGTATTTAAATGTTACGTCATAAAACTTACATATAGTAACTTATAGTCACATTTTTGTCGTCCATAGATTTTTTCTTAGTAATATTTTAGAAAAGAAAATTAAAAAAATCTTTTATAAATCACATCTAGATATAGTAAAATTCAATACTCAAAATTCAAGAATAAAATAGTGTTATGTTTACTGTATGAAATAGTAAATTTATGAAAAAATGGGACATAAGGGAACTTACGAAGGAAAAGTATAGTATATTGATTGGGTAAATATTTATATTTTATATTAAGAAGGAATTTTACTTCATTTATGGTAGCAATCATATAATTGTAAGTATTTACAGTAAATTTAAGTTTATGAAATAAACTATATATCCCAAGTAGTCAATGAGTAAAGTAAAATTACAATTCATCTAATGAATCATTTGCCACACTCCTAAGAATATTTAAGTTTATGAATATTTTTGTAATTCATGATGGGTGAAATCATGTTTCTTAATTTGGAAATACATTGCGAGATAAATTAATACACAGATTTATGATGTCGAATTTAAATATAGAATATTACACATTTATTAATTGGAAATAAGTGGGGAGAATCCATGTATAGTAGAAATCAATTTGGCAATAACATATTGTCTACCAAACTATGCAATTTGGCGTGTAGTAATATATAGTAGTAATTTGTTTGCATTTTTGTGAACTATGGTGTCAGCATTATATTGTGTTGTAAGAATAATTCAATTTACATTTGTGTCCTGTTTGAGGCGTTAATTTTCCCTCCAATAATTATATTAACCTTGTTACTTTATATTCGTGTGAGAAATTAAAAATTATGTACTAGCATGTCGATAGCATTTAATAAAAAAAAGTTAAATGGTGAGATTGGGAAATTGAAAACAGAAGTTATCAAACGGGCTCTCAAGAATTAGCAAGCTGAAGATGAGATGGGATTGG